TCGTCGGTCCTTACCGTATCGCGAGAAAAATCGGTCCTCTAGATTATGAGCTAATGTCTGAAGATGATGGTGCGGTTTTAAGTCCGATTCACGTTGAACGGCTTAAACCATATCTTGAACAGAGTTCTCTAATCTGAAATTACTGTTCCCTGGCCTTCCACTGTATATTTCACTGTACATATATTGCCTTATTTATAGCTGTTTCTAATTTTCAGTTTAAAACGCTTGCCTCTAAGTGTTCTAGTTGCAGTTTGCAACTCCGTTTTGCAGCATGAGTGATGATCACTCATGCTGCAAAACGGAGTTGCAAACTTGGTTCAGCGCGGAGCAAACACCAAATTTTCTAATGCTATTCCTTCCTATTTTATTTTTACATTATTTTATCTTGATCGATTCAGAAAAATATTTACATCAATAAAACGTTTGAGAAACACACTTTTCTAGTAAATCTTCTTTACAACAACAGAAAAAGGAAAGTGATATATATGCAAGACGATAGTGTAGCTGTATGTAAAAGAATGAGAAGAAAGGTATAACGAGGATAATCTGTACGGTTGTCATTCATATTCATTCAGAGAAGAAAGGAGAAAATTTAGGTTTTATTTCATATCTTTATGCTGAGAATTCTAAAACAAATTTTAACTTATAGTCTATGCGTACTGAAGTGGCAGAGTTGTGTCATTTTTAAAGTTGGGTTATATTAACGCAACTTAACAAAAAGTAAGAGTTGCGTAATTTTAAAGCAACTATTTTTCTGATATTATTACAAGGACGTATAGAAGAGTGAGAGAGCAAGAAGTGAAGATAAAATTATTTAGAAAGATAAAAAGCCTGTTCGAAGTATTGATTGGCATGTTCGTTCAGATTGTGAACTTCGGAAGTTCCTTCTTTTCCTCGTCTCCGTTCTCAATCATAGAGTGACGAAGATTCGGACGGAGAGAGAAAACACTAACTTTTTTCAAGTTTTTCAGGTATTTTACCGCAACTTTTTTTTTGTTTTCTTCTCCCTCTGCAACGTTTATCTCTACCGTTTCAGTATGGAGGTTGGAAATTCTGATGTTTGCAATCATCAATGCAAAAATATGTAAATCATTATGAAAATACAATCAAGTAAAATAAAAGTATAGTGAAGGGAAATATCTTCAGACCTTTTCTTCTCTTTCTCTTCTATAATCCAAAACAAAACGAAATATCTTCTTTCTGTATTTAGGAAAATTTACTTAAACCAGAACAGATAGAAAGCTATGTACGAGTATAAAAGGTCACAAACTATTGCTCGCCAATCCAACCTGACATTCAGCCACCATAGACTATTTGATAGTTTCTCAGTTACAATTGCTGTCAATTTTCTATTATTCATGGAACCTGGCCAGGGTTTGATGACAACTATGCAAGTTTTATCCTGTTGACGACCCGCGTGTCGTACTTAGAAATTTTACTTAATTTCTCAGCTAAACTTCATCTTGTATAGATGTTTCTTTGCGCATCTAAATGATCTCCACCATCGTCATCAATATTATCATATTCACTTATTGAGATAATTTGTTGTTGATGATGTAGTTGAGAAGGATGCAGCCATTTTTCAAAGAGTTAAGACTTTTGAGAGTAATAGCAGTCAAACTTTTGAATGAAACAAATTTATCGAAATATTTTTCTAATATTCAGATTAAGAGAAAATCGCGGTTAGTTCTTTTCTTTTATAAAAACACCGAAAATTTAGCACCAGAAACTTCTTGCGTAAATCTCTAATTGATGTATCCAAATTTTACACTATCCAGTAAAAATGACGCTCTTATCTCAAGATTTGAGGACGAATCTCGTGGGGCAAGGGAGGTCCTTGTAACGGCCGCTTGCCGTTACATATTTTATTTTCTGTCGCTTGAAAAGTTTCAGAAACTTCTTCTATGCGCTGTTTATATAGAGAGAATGAAATCAGTTAATAATTGATTTTTATTATTATTTTGTTTCATAGTGACGCGAAATGTGGAGACACATTATCTTCGTGTCGAGATTTCATTAAAAATATCAGTTTTTCTTCTTCTTCAAAAATTCTAAACTAAAATTCTAAACTTCTTCTGCTTCCTCTTCTCCTTCTCTCATCTTAAGAGAAGAGAAATCATTACTATCATCTTCAGTCGTCTTCTTCTTCTTTTATCATACAAAGGAAGAAGAAATACTACTATAATTTATAACTAAATCTCACATTTAGTTTATATTCAGTATTCTTTTAAAATTATAATTTAGTGTTTTCATTTGCATTACTATAATTTCGTTCTGCGCTCCTTCTCCTCATCAACTTTCGTCAATTGAAGAGAAGCCGATTATCAATTATTATCATCAACAACCATTAGATATTATTATTAACTGTTACTATTTCATCATTGTACATTAGTTTTTCTGTAAAATATTTTATCATAATAATAATTTGTTGTTAGTGTGTAAAAGCGAACTAGAGATTGTTTTTGTTATAGCAAGTTTAGAGGGCTAACGTGCTACTACACCCCCCCCCTTTAAATGAACTTTATTTTTTTCTTCACGGTAATATGGCCATGAATCTCATGTCACTTCATGAGAAATGTTTGACGAAGCAAAAAAGCTGATTAGAAAGGAGAACCTTTCGAGTAGAAATGAGTGAGAATTTGGTTGTCTTACCTCGTCAAACCTTTTTTATGAAAAGTAAACGTATTATTTTATGTGAAGCGAGGATTGTAAAGAAGTACTAAACAGATGGCTAACGAAACGTTGATCCATGCAGTTCCATTTTAATTTCTTCTTATTTAATATTTCTGAATCAGAGCATTTAGTTATCGAATTTTTGTTTGTTAAACCGATGTGACAGTATGCTATTCTTGCAAAGACAAGCATTATGAAGATAGTGACAGCCATCACACAGTTACATGATTTCTTTTAAGTAACATCGTAATAAAGCATATATTTTCATGACGATGTACTAAATATACGTGAGATGAAACGTTTCTTCATTTTCCGTTTTCTATTTAATGTTTCTAAAAGAGTTTGGATCTGATGTTAAAGTTTGACAATCGCGTGAGGTTGAAGTTTTATACTAATATTCTAACTGTTTAGGTTCTGCTTGCAAGTGTCTTTTTACGGATCGCAGCATGACGTATAAGTTGAAACAGGAAATAGAGATGGAGCACTTTTTTGATAAAATATACTGCTTGTCTAAGGAAGTGTTACCCTTTCAATACCATTCAAAAGTTTTTCTAACCACATCTAACAACAGGCATTAAATTATACTTTATATAATTATAACAAAAATTCTTTGAAAACTCAAGTTTTGCTTTCCATTAACATGCCTCTTCGATTGTGCTCGACACACGAGTGGTTTCTATTAAGTATCTTTTGTATTTTGATGACTAAAATAGGTGTCGACAAACTCCTCAATAACTATCATCTTGCTCTTAAGCATAGACTTCATTTGTTTCATTCTTATAGTCGTTGTGATAAAAGAATATCTCTTCACGAAGCTTCAAGTATTAATAAACTTAATGTGAATATCAAACAGATATCTGATTCTTCTGTACATTAGGTTACCTCGACTCATTCTTTTTTGTTTCTAACTAAGAAAAAACCTCGTGTAACGCGTATTCTTTAAACAGTTCTTTCAACATGAGAGTTTCTTTGAATTCTGTAATAATTTGAGTTGATGAAGTCGAATAATTATAAAACTAATGCACCGACATCAAGTCTCTGAGAAGCTTTGTTTTATAGGTTGACATCTGAATCGTATTTCGATTATCAGACAATTGATATTAGTTGATAAAAAATGGTAACACTAAAAAGCAGTGCATTGATATGCTTCATTGCCGCTAGTGTGATTATTTGTGCTGTGATAATACCAGTCGTTGTATTAAAATCGAGTGAGCTATATAATAAATACAAATATTGCTTGGCTGAAGATATTCAGTTTCAGAAGGAAAACAAATGGTAAATGAAACGTTAACAACATCAGATATTCAATCAACGACAGGTAGCGATGAATATTCATTCTCTGTAACAGGAAAACGCTACTCCGTGACACAACATTACCACGAACGACATTACGGCGAAGACTCGTTTATTGGAAAAGAAGAATAAATGAGCCTGGTTTTGTATTTTCTATATCAAGTCGCGGGAGGTGGGGGGGGGGGAGGGCATTGTGAGAGTGAGTTTGAAAAGTAGTTTCACACAAAACGTATTTTAATGATGCGAAACTAGATATCTGTGACTAGTCACCGTTTCAGATGATGACTAGTCACCACATAACTTCAGTTAAGTTTGAAAACATAATATAGAAAATACAAAACCGGCTTCATTTATTCGTCTTTTCCAATAAACAATTGTTCGTGGTAACGTCGTTTTCTGTTTTCGCGGTAATGTCGTTTTTTGTATTCGCGGTAATGTCGCTGTATCCGCTACTCTTTCTATTCACTGTAGATGAGAAATTTGTATCTATGACACTTCACATTGTTTCAAGAAGTCATTTGAGCTTGCTTCCCGTAGGTAAGAACGGTCTTCTTTTCCCTAAATCAGTTTCATAACGTTGCCACGTCGTCCTGCGCATCTAGAATGCGCGGGTAACTCTAAATTCGAGCACTATTTTATTTTGTCGGTTCTAGTTTTTCGAACATAGTTTTTGGTGGAAAAAAATTTGAAAATACTAGAATTGTCTTGTATGTCGAAAATCTGTACCGCTGAGAGAAGTATAAAACGTTTTTGATCCAATTGATTTCGGGGCTTCAAAACTTATTTTTTCACGAAATCAGTTTCATAACGTTGTAAACAAGGTTAAATTAAACCTATCTTGTTTTTTACTTCAGAAATACGACAATACGTCTCGTTAAAGAAATACAAGGCTCTACTAGTATATTCGAATTTCTTTCACCAAAAACTATGTTCGAAAAGCTAGAACTTACAAAATAAAATAGTGATCGAATTTAGAATTAAGCGCGCAATAATTAAAAGTGAAAAGCATAGAGATAATCCAAATTTGTATGAGCATGTTAGTTACAAGTAGGTTGTAAATATTATTGAGCTTATTCTACTTCCGTTTCTTTTTCTAGTCCCACAACCAACATTGAGCAATACGGAAACCACCGCAACGGCTATGTCAAGTAGAAGTGATAAACTAGGTACACAAATGAAGCTATTCATCTGTTTCTTTGTTTAGCAACAACTACCACTACTACAACAAGCTCAGCTACTCGCATTACAACCACAACTAAGATCAATGGTACAGCCATTTTTCGCTTATATGTAAATATTTTCTATGAAGTTCGTTTTCGTAGGAAATTCCTCTTTAAGAACCTTATGTTCAGCAACAGCGGTGTGGAATCAGACTGCTGTAACCATTGCTGGTAATGGGAGCAGGGGTGGAAGCGTAAAACAACTATGCAATCCATTTGACGTGTTCGTTGATTCAAACGGCAGTATATTGATTGCTGATACTACTAATATGCGTGTAATCCAATGGGATCCAAATGCAGTGAGTGGAGTTGTCGTAGTAGGCGATCTCGGGCCTGGTAATCTCTCAAATCAACTTTATTATCCGACGAGTGTATTCATCTATAATGATAGTCTGTATGTGCTTGATTATTTCAACTTTCGAGTTCAGAAGTACCAGCTAAATGAAAGTTCTTATCCTCTCAATGGCACAACGATTGTTGGTTTATTCGGACATGGTTCAAATAACAATCAGATATCGAACAGTTTCGCTTTATTTGTGGACTCAGCCGGTAACCTCTACATCTCGGATGGATATAATCATCGAGTTATGTTATGGACGCAAGGTGCCACGACTGGAGTAGTTGTTGCTGGCGGACACGGTTATGGTAATATGACTAGTCAGCTGTTCTATCCGTATGGTATCTACGTCGATGAGACTTCCAGCATTTTTGTGTCGGATTGTGGCAACGACAGGGTTATGAAGTGGTTGAAAGGTAGCAACACTGGTATAATTGTTGCTGGTCTCAATGGCTCAGGATCTGGTAATGCTCAACTCTTGTGTCCATTATCAGTTATATTGGATGAGAATGGTTATATGTATATAGGTATGTTCTCTTCACAGTAACGCCCTCAAACTAATACCTTTGCATATTTTTAGCTGACAGTAATAATTATCGTATCCAACAACAATTGCCGGGAGCTCAAGAGGGTCGAACAATCATTGGTGGTTCATTCGGCCTGGGTTCAAATCAATTATCGTATGTGGAAGCAATCAAATTTGACTCGGATTGGAATCTAATTGTAGCCGACACAGCGAATCATCGAATTCAAAAATTCAATCTGATTAGCAATGGTTGTGATTGATACCACATCATACTAAACTGATTCTTTTGTAAGAGGTAGAATATCATGAACCCATACCGAATGAATACATTTATGTACATTTTCCTATGTCACAATACTCTTGCTTGTTAAACGTACCCTGATTTTTGATTTCGAACAAACGACAAGCGTCCTCATATCAGCATTTTTAAGTTTATTGTACAAATAAAATTTTTCAAATGCCTTTAGTACGAAAAGATGTTTCGAGGTCGTCGAAATGTTAAAAGTCCAAGCTCTTTACCTATTTTGTTTTCGAAATAAAATGAGAAGAAATGTTGAGTTCTTGCGCTTGTGCTTAGCTGTTTTCGCTCCAGTTTTTAAATTTCGACGGTCACACCCCGAACACATACAAAAAGCGATTAAAGAACGAAAACGACAAGTCTTTTGACAGACATCCAGATAGAGTCCTGCGGGTTTAACCCGATCCCGATTCCGAAAGTTTTTCTTCGGGTTCGGATTCGAGACCGGTTTCAGTTCATCCGAACGGGCTCGGGAATGGGTTTGTTTCCGATCCTGATTTTTCTAGTTTGATATAGGGGAGATAAGAGACAGTTCTAAATAAATAAAAAATAATGGATAATAAGGAAAACGGACAGCTGTTTCGCACTATAGTGTTAAAATTGTCTCAAAACTATTTTCTTGTCCAGTTTTGAATATAGAATCAAGAAAATGGGAGTTCAAAGGTCTAAAGTTAAATGCAGTTGAAAAAATTCGGGTTGTACTTTCGTTCGTCCTCTTCCTCTCTCCCAGTGTCATGCAATGGGCACAGCCCGATTTGATTACTGTTTCTTCTATAATAAAGTTTAAATCAAATTCGGGCTTTTCTGTAGCGAAGAAATACAAAAACACAGAAATCTGCTCTATGCAGTTGAGATAAATTTAAATAAATGAATAAAATTAATAAATATATATATTCTAAATAGATATAATAGTTATTGCTCAATGACGCGTTGCTAGAACAGTCCGTTAACTGAAGATTAACAGCAATAGTCGACGTTCAATTTTAAATAAAAGCGTTTAACATGCATATCTGAACCAAGAAACTTTTTCTGATCAGTCGTTAGTTACTTTCGAAAATGTGTTTGTGGAAATCATTTTAGTGTGAGGAAATCAAGGAAATTAAAAAAAATAATTTTTTGCGACTAGATACATGAAAGAATCAAATAAGTTTACTTTTGTAGAAAAACTGCAAAAGTAAACCCATTCTTTCTGTACTATATACTAGACAACGACTGAAGTTGTGCAATTAACAAGTGCAATTACTTACATAGCACTAATCACTAGTGACGCACATAATCTTTAGTGTGTATAACATTAAACTGTATACGTGCAGGCTTTATCAGAATAGCGAGTTGACGTGAATATTAGTGACTAATGCGTCAGTGATTGGTGCCATAACTTCGATCGTTGTCTAGTATATAGAACCGAAAGAACGTTTACTTTTGCAGTTTTTATGCAAAAGTAAACTTATTTGATTCTTCCATGTACCTAGTCAAAATTAGTTGTGTATATTTTTAGCTGCTGTTATATTACTTTCTAGTATTCAAATTTGGCTCGTTTACCAATAATTATTTAATTTATAATAAGATTGAAATATGTCTGGCGATAATCCAAGTCTAATTACTAGCTTTCATATAGGACAGCGGTTTGACGTTAATAATCGAAGTGATTTGTATCAAGCTAAATCAGTTCTGTTGGAAGGTGCAAGAAATGTGGTCGCAGGATTTGAAGATGATCAGAATAGTATTCTAAATAGCCGTGCATGGACAAGGCTTAACGGTATTTACCAGCTGGCAATAAATTACACTGATCCATGACTCACGAACCGTGAAACACATTCCATAATCGTAAAAGATACGACTGAAGAAATAGCGAGAAAGTTGGGGTATTGCTAA